TGTTGAATTATTAGGTATTAACTAGTGATTGTACGTGTATTTTACTCTACTTGTTTCTTAATATAGAGAATGTTTTCTTTGATTATGATATCATTACTTACAGGAAGTGTAGGTAATGATACTTTGTATTGAAGGTCAAATACTTTCAATTGAGGCAATTGAATCAATTCTTCAGTACTATTATAGGAAGTTTGATATTCTATGATAAATCTGTTGAAAGGTAACACTGGGAATTTGTTAAGTACTAAAGGAGTTTGAGACTCTTCGAAATTCCATACAAATCTTTCATTTTCATCCACCAATTTGGTTTGGAATTGAAATATACGAGGTGTAGGGTTTTCAATGATATATTTCAATTTGACATTTTGTTGATGTTGTTCAATGTCAAGTAAAACTCTAGGATCGGTCAAAGGTAAAAGAATTTCATATTCAGGTGTCTGATAATGATTGATTGTACCTTGAGGTCTAGCCCATTGAATGTCGGCATTGATAACCATGGTGACATTTCTCTGAGAGATACCGTTTTTACTTCTGGTAGTGAAAATTTGATTTCTTTCATCACTTTCAGGAAGGATATCTACTACAATCTCTGAAGATTGTGGTTTTATTGAATAATCCACCTTGACTATTTCCATATCTCCCACGATATTCAACTTCCCTGACCAAACTCTGGTAACTATAGGCATACTTTGTTTTCCATGTAAAATGAAAGGATTCGGCATATCTTCATTATGTCTATATTTGGGACTAATAGCAAATTTACATAAAAATGGTTGTTTCAAGATGGGTATTATGTAACTGGCTGATTCATATGCTATCAAATCGTCATCTTTATCTTCTTCAACTAACAACTTCAAATCTATCTTGACTTGATAGGATTTATCAGTCACTGATTGTAAGGAAGAATAGAATATCGATAAGTTCAAAGATTTTTCAATTGATTCATCGGTGTTCAAATTGTCTAGAACCAAAGACTCATCATCTTTCAAACCTTCCCAATTGATTTTACTATCAATAATTGAATCATCTTCTATGACCTTGATCCTAGGGTTGAGGGAAACTTTATGATAACTTAAATGTCTTTCGTTTTTGAATCCGATTTTGAACTTCAAATCGATTTTTTCTCCTATAACGATGGATTCCACGGGGTTTATCATAGAAATGACAACGTTGGGTTTTATAGGTGATACCTTAATAGAATTACTGAACACTGAAGGTAATTTTACAGGCACTGGAATGAATTTTCCCTCAACTTTCTTCATATAATAATCGTATGGTTTGATTTTTTGTTTGGAGAATTTCTCTTTATTGTGTATGATAGTGGTTTTGATCTTGAGTGTAGATTCTACTTCAATGCTCTCGATCTGATAAGTCCCTGACTTTTCAATCACCTTACTAAACTCCAAGATTTCAAAGTCTTTGAGAGAGAAATTCCCATCACCAAATGATACTTTCTGACATTCTTTAGACCCATCATGGTTGAATATCATATCTTCAATATTTGAATTGAAATGTACAGTTACTTTATCGATATTCAATTCTCCCTCAAGAGTTACCTTAGGTTTGAACTTTATTTGACCCACCAACTCATCATACACCGAGACGTCCAGTACTTTACCTTCAATGTTGTTTCTATCTATGAACAATGTCTCAATATCGAAAAACGAGACATTCAAATCCACTGGTTGTTCGAACATTGGAACTTCAGTATCTTTACAATTACTTTGAAGGATCAAAATCAAACTCTCTTTAAGATTTCCTAGATTCTGATTAATCTTGATCAATCTGGAATTGATAATGTTGTTGATATTGACGTTGTCAGATACTGACTTCTCATAGTACTTCAAGCAATCGTTGTCATTGGCTTTGAACAATTCTTCAGCTATTTGGAAATTTATATAGGTAGCTAAACTGTGTTGATTATCAAACTTTGAAGCTTTTTTCAATAAAGCCAATTTCTTACTTTTAAGATCTTCTGTGGTGAAATCACTCAAATAGTTCAATTGATGGGGTTTCACAGGTTTCAAATGATTCACAGCTTGGAGAATGATCAAACTAGGGTTAGTGAATATTTCAAAACTATCATATTTAACACCCCCATAAAAGTTAATACCTTGTTTATGTTTAGTTCCAGCATTAGGCACAAGATCCAATAACTCGTTCAACCAACAGTATTGAATGGATATCCATTGGTTCAAATCAATACGATTATTAATAGCACTCTTCACATTAATAATATGAGCTTGATGTTTTTTGATAGCTATGATAGGTTCATCTATAGATAAATAACATCTAACGATATGGAAAGCCACTATATCGATTAAAATCCTCAATTGATGATAAATCTTCAAATCATGATCAGAGATCGAATCTTTAGCGAACTCAAAGTAATTGTCCTTAAGGATTTCAATAAGATTGGTATAACTTATTTCAAATGATTTGATACTGGATTCTAATGAATGAGGATGTAAATATTGATTTATAATTCCTTGCTTTATAAGATTCCTGGTCTCCAAAAATTTGGGGGTAAGTTCAATGGTAGTATCAATATTAGATGATGAAGGGACAGTATAATATTTCTTACTCCTTTTCTTGATCTTCAACTCAATGTCACTATAAAAATCCACAGCTGAAGTTTTGAGATTGTTTAATAAACTAGAGATGATCATTTCTTCGTCTTTCTTATTCTGATTGATATAAACCAAACCTGTTGATCTAGTCAATCCTGTCAATTGTCTCAATCTATTCAATCTATCGTCATCATCACTGACCTCCTTATTGGCGGATATTATAATCACTACAAGTTTGATACCAAATCTAGAATAACTATTCTTCATATCATTGATCTTTGACGTCAAAGCTTCATCATCTAAAGGATCTGAAGGTAAATCCATTATATTGACTACCACAAAAGGTTTAGTTTCTTGATATTTCTTGAACCATTTATAAGTCAAAATTCCATTGGGGAAAGTATCTGAATTTATGTTGAATGGTGATAATATTGAATGATGTGGAGGATCCTTTTCAAGATGTTCAATGATTTGGTTTTCTTTTACCAGTCGTATAAGGAATTTTAAATTACTCAATCTGTTTCTTAGAATTGAATTATGCCAGAAATTCCCCGATATATCAAAACTTTCAAAGTATTTCAATACTTCAGGATGTTCATTACATTGAATGACTATCAATGGTGCCAAAACCAGCAATAGACTTGAATCATAGTATTCCATATCAAGAAGGTTCCGCGAAATCTCCAAAAAAAAAATTACTAATGAGTGAAGACGTTATCAATGCTAACCCAACGGTTATCGATGTTAGTGACTTACCTACCAGGTTAATCACCAAACCCAAAAAGAATGAATTCCTTGAAGATATATCATCTCTTTCATTAAGTGAACCGGAGTTATCCGATATGGAAACTGATGAAGATAATGAAGATATTGATGCACAAGAAATTTTTGATTTATTAGCCACTATGTCAGATCCTGAACATCCATTAACTTTAGCTCAATTGGCTATTGTAAATTTACCTGATATTCATGTGAAAAACATCGAAAATGGATTATCTGAGGTTTTAATCAAGATCACTCCTACTATTACTCATTGTTCATTAGCTACATTAATCGGTTTAGGTATCAGAGTAAGATTAGAAAGATGTTTACCACCAAGATTCAGAATAAGAATTTTCTTAAAAGAAGGAACTCATCAAAGTGAAAATCAAGTCAATAAACAATTAAACGATAAAGAAAGAGTAGCAGCAGCTTGTGAGAATGAACAATTATTAAGTGTTATACTGCAAATGTTAAGTACTTGTAAATAAGGAAAAAGGGGGGAATATTATATATTATTGTACATTGGCATTATTCATCTCTGATTTATTTTAATCTACTATACAATCGGTAAGCTTCAACATCTCCATAAGTATTAACTAATTCTGAAGCATCTAAAACAATGAATTTGAATATAAATCTTTTGATAAAGTCCATTAATTTGAATAATTTATTGTTTCTGGAATCGGTAGTTAAGTTATTTAAGATTCTGGTTATCAACAATAATAATTGTTTGGTTTGAATGAAATATTCGAATTTATTCTTTTGAATTTCTTGTCTTTGATTTAAAGAATAATTAACAAACATTGGTAATGATTGATTTGAATGATGTTTTTCATCGGTAATACTGTTTCTTTTTAATTTGGAATTATTGGAATTAGTAGTAGCTGTTGTTGAAATACTATTTCTATTACTTGAATTAGAATTCATTGAACTTGACAGTTCTCGATTTTTCATCATTCTACTATAAAGTTTTGATTTCGAAAGGATTGAATTGAAAGATTTCCTATGATCTTCTTCAGGTTCTTCATCTTCATATTCTAAATTGAAAACTTGTCCACCATTCGAATTAAGATTGAAAGTTCCACTAATTGGACTGGTAATTTGACTGGTTGGTTGAGGTTGAGATTGAGATTGGGATTGAGATTGATTCCCCATAAGTGATGAGAATCTTTTCCTTGATAAAATGTTTTCTCTTGAACTGGAGTTTCTTTTCCCACTTGAACTATTCAAATTATTATAATTGAAATTATTTGACTGATTTGAATGAGAACTAACATTATTATTTGAACTATGAGAAAAGTATGAATGATGGGTTCTCAGGGATGTTGTTGAAGATTGGTTGGAAACTGTTCTATTCAATGATTTATTCTCATCAACAGTATATTCATCAGTTTCTTCTTCCTCTTCTTCTTTTAATGAATCAATACTATAATGTCTGAAAGAATTTCTTTTCGGCGTTTCATAAAACTTATATGCCATTAATAATTTCTTATAATACAATAAAACCGTGTCATCTAAAATTTCATCAGTTTTCTCCAACTCCTTTTCAATCATAGAATTGATTTCTGTTAAGATCGATATCTTAACTTTAATATCTCTAACATTGATATTACTTCTTAACCAAATATCATTAGGTAAAGTTATTCCTGGTAAAATTTCTTTAGTTACATCAACATTGTAGTATTTCCCACTAACATCTTCACTTTGTAAAATCTTTGTTGGATCTTCTAAATTCAAGAAATTGATCAAAAACTCTTTAATATAATCAAACTGACTAACATCAATAGGTATTGATAATTGTAATGATTCAAACTTTTCGGGCAAATATCCCAACTCCACTGACATTTTTGAATACCACGGATTTCAAACTTATGGAAAACTATATAAAAAAAATCTAAATGAACGTTGTGAATTGTAACGATGTTCCTGAAGGGTTGAATTTGCTCCTTAAAATGTCCGTCTATTTTTCTATTTTCAGGGGTAAAAAAAAAATCTATCTTCTAATTTACAAGATTAATTATGAAATTAATCCTAATTATTGCCTCTCCTACTGATTACTCAACCTGAATGATACAAAATAGATACTCCTGTTTACTTTAAGGTTCGTCTAAAAACTGATGATAGTTTTATACAGGAGTGCGAAAAGCTGGTTCTGTCATTTGAATAGTTGAGGAACGCAAGGTTAAACATGTTCAATAGTAAGAAACCTAAATTTAAACTTGATTTGGGTATTAACGAATTGTCTAACATTCCTCAGGTTAGTGGGAATTGTTATATAGATTTACAAATTAAAGATAATAAAAGAATTAAATCTTTGCCGTTTAATTTACCCTTTAAACCCAATGATGATGATTCTCTGTCATCATTATCATTGAACTCATCATCAACTTCAAGTTCAGGAAATGTTTCCATAATAACTTCCAATAAGAAGATTCATAACTTCAAATGTTCTTTTAATTATAAAGTTGGATGTAATTTGAAATTTGGCTTTAAAAGAAGAGAAAACCTTATTAATGATAAATTCCTTATAATGAAGATTTATTATGTTAGTGATAAAGATATTAATGCCCATCATCATCATAAAATAGAGTTAGGTAAATTAGAAATCAATTTATCGGAATATTTAAATTTTGATGAACCAATCACTTCAAAGTATTTATTGAAAGATTCCAAAGTTAATTCAATTTTAAGTTTAACCATTCATTTAAGTGAATTACCTTCAAATTTCGATTTCCATACTCAATTAACAATCACTGATAATAATTCCAATCATGAAAAAACCGACCAATCAAAGATATCATTGAATGCAAATTCTTCAACTACAAAATATAATGTCCCCCAATTCGAAAGGAAAAATATCTTTGGAGGTCTTAATGATGTTATTGGATCAAGTTCAGAAAAGGATAAAACTTCATATAAATCAAGTGATGAAGGACAAGAGAAATCTGATAGAAAACCTAGTTCATTAAGAATCGATACCGCAACCACTGGACAAATAAATAAGAAAGATCCGGTAATAATGATAGATCCTATAGTGAATGATTTATATAGAAAGATTCTTGAATCTACCTGGGATCCTAATCTCCATGCATTACTTGATTTCACTCCTGAAGTGTGTGTAGAGAGTATATTTGATGGAACTTTCCCTCAATGGAAAGAGAGATTAATGCTGGAAATTAATACTCATTATGATGATGATGATGCCGATATTAGATGTATAAATGGTTTGGTTAATGAATTGAATTACCGTGATGATTTAAAGAGTTGGACAATTAGCGAAGTTTCTTAATATACATAGTTATACATATGTGGAGGCTTTATCGTATCTTTCTGTTCCGTACACCCCCTGCGTCTTATCTTATCTGTTCGGTACACCTGTGTCTCATATCTTTTGCAGTCCGTACACGATAGTTATACATCTTCTATACATCTCAATTCTTCATCATACCCCCCCTACTTCTTAAATTTCAATTTACCTACCAACTTCTGAAACACATTGTTCTTAGGTTGATAGTTCTCATTGGTAAACTCTTCTATCTCTGTGATGAGATTACTCAATTGGATGTCCACCGATAAGGTCCTGGAAGAAGTAATGGATTTGGGTCTCAGTTCAAAAATTTCATCATCAGTTTCATAGCTATAATCCGATTCACTATCAAAAATATCTGAATCTGATTCCCATCTATAACTATCGTCTATTATGACTATATTCCTTAAAGGTGATGAAAATAACGGGATATGTTTACAATATTTACAATTTCGATAATTATTCTTCTTGCACTGACTACTAAAACATTTAAGCCTTCTGGTATCTTTAAAACCCTTAAAACAACCTAAAGGAATAGTTGAAAATTGATTAACTAATAAAGTTGAGGATAATTGATTATGTGAATTTGACAATTTTTGTTGATGATAAGATGATTGAAATACTGGTCGTAACTGGAAATTCATAATGAATCTCTTTAAAGGAAGAAATTCAGAATCTTCAAAGTGTTAAATAGCTAAAAGTTTGATAGTACAAATATAGTTTTGAGAATATGCAAGGATGAGCCCTTGTGATTTTTTAGAGTTACAAAAAGCCGTTGGGCGTTGACATGAAAACACCCATATAATTGAATAAGGTAATATACATTAGACAAAATCTATTTGTGAAATTTATGGAAATTCTTTCATTATTCCGTGTTATTATTATTATTGAAACGACGATTATTGAAATTTCTTCTGTTACTTTGATTATTATCATTACGTCTTCTGTTGAAGTTGCCATTATTGTTATAATTTCCGTTATTGTTACCTCTTCTTCTTTGATTTTTGTTTCTTTGTTCCATATTTATTAAATTTTGTTCTTTAGCTTGGTCCATAGTCTATATTGTTAGTAAAAATGTTGATGAATTTTGATTTTTCTAATAATACGTACTTGTTCAGGTAATCTTAAGTATTTAATATGGTTACCTCTGATATATATTTCAGGTATCTTCAAGAAATCTTCACCATTTGGAGATGTTTGAATTACTTCACTTAAAGTTAAGTTCATCCATGAATCACAATTAGTTAATAATCCGTTCAAAGTTTCCCCATTTTTCAATTCAACCAATATTGGCTGGTTCTTTGCCGATGTTAATATGTATAAGGGTAACTAGATTGTTAGTATTGGTGATGATGGGGGTGTTTGTTTGAGTTACTTACCATCGTTGGTGTTGAAAATTTCGCACTGACCTCATTTTGGTGAAGATTGAGTGTGTTGATTGTGTTGAGGGTGTTGAGAGATTTCTGAGCGTAGCGAGAGTCGTTGATGGCAATATATGGTGCTGAATATCTTCGTAGGTGTTCGTTGTTCTAAGTCTAGTTGGGCCCCTAACTAGACCGAACTCCCCAAACAACATTTGTACATCCCACCTTTCCAGAGGTAATCAGAATGAATATGTATTAACGAAAGACTTATTCCTCATCTTGAGGAGGAGCTGAGGTACCTCTTAAAGTTAAAGGATAATGATCTTTATCATCATTATCACCACCATCAACATTGTTATTATGATTAGCTAATTTGAACCCAATATAATCTTCATTTAATCCTTGATTGGCATCTTGTAAAGAACCTAAATCACCTGGTGTCATAATACCAATTTTACTTCTTGGACTTCCAGGAACTGATAAAGGTCTAGTTAATTTCAAATTAGAATTATTTTGTTGGAAAGGATTGGCACCATTTTTGAATTTATCAGGATATGCTCTCTTCAAAGATAATTGTCTAGCTTTGATATATTCTAAGCCCATTCTCTTCCAATCCAATAAATCACTCAATCTTTCAGTTCTGTTTCTTTGATTGATTCTTTGTCTTCTGGTTTTTTGAGTGAAATCAAACATTTGGTCAGTTAATTGATTGATTGATTCGTCAACAGATTTCATTCTTCTATCAACAATATAAATACCATAATCACTAGTATTTTCAATTAAATCTTCCATATAACAACCAAATCCTGATAAATTGGTAGTAATTGATGGTACCCCCATAACGGTACATTCAGCTGGGGTATAACCCCAAGGTTCATAATATGATGGGAAAACACCTAAATGACAACCTCTAACAAACTCATCATAATCTAATGATAAAATAGGGTTGTTAGCATTCAAGAATTCTGGATGGAAAATGATTTTAACTCTATCTTCAGGTTTATTGAATAATTGAACTCTTCTAATTTGATTTAAAACTGGATCACTGGCATCATCAATAACATTATGAGTAACAATTGGTGGTAAACCATCTCTTTTTAAAGCAAAAATTCTTCTTTTCAATAAAACCCTATCAGCAGGTTTGATTAATTCATCAATTGATGGAACTTCATTACCTCCAGTATTATGAGTATTATGAGTATTTGGGAATCTGGCACAATGTTCAAATAATCTTTCACCCACTTTCTTTTGTACTTCTTCAATAGTATTTTCTAATTGTTTAATAACTGCTTGACCTTTTAAAGTTTCAACAGTATAACTTTGAGTTTTACCTGGCATAATGATGAATGCAACTACAGTCATTTTTGAACCTGATTCTTTTAATCTATGATTTAATCTTGCTAAACTTTCAATGAAAAAATCACATCCTTTATTTCTGAATTCATATCTTCCAGCAATAAAGAAATAAAGAGTATTATCTAAATCGAAATCATAATTACCATAAAAATGACCTTTAACGAATTCATTAATTTTTGCCTTTTTAATAGCATGTAAATTTTGAAATTCATGAACTGCTTGAAATTTAACAACATTTAAACCATTTGGTAAAACACCATCAGGTTTTCTTTTCAATAAATGTTCTGATTCAAAAGCAGTAATATGACTAACTGTGGTGAAAACATCAGCAGTATGAGCAGCTGATCTTTCAATACAATATCTATGATAAATACCTCTTTTCCCAGCTTCAGCATCAACATCAAAATTAGCTAAATTATTATAAAAATCTGTTGATCCAGCACATAAATATCTACCTAATAAAGTAGCATGAGTGGTAAAAATAGTACAAATATCTAACTTTCTAGCTCTACAAAGGGGTAAAGCAACCCCTGCTAACCATTCATGACATTGACAAATAACTGCTCTTTCCCTATCATGATAAACCAATTCTCCCAAGAACCAGGCTACCAAATAACCTAATAAAATAGCATCATTTGATTCTTGATCATGATCAGGTGCTGGAATTCCAGCAATATTCCATAAATCTGCTTTCCATTCGTGTAAATTACCAGCAGCCGAATGAATATCGAACAATAAAACTCTTGGAGCTCCTTCAATTAACCATCTACCATAAAGCCAACGAATACCTCTATCACTCATACTTTGTAAAGCTGCCATGATCTTAGTATCCTTAACAGGTAATTCTTCAACTTCAATTTGAGCCGATTCATAGTTTAAAGGTCCTAATAATGTATATCTTTCTCTATATTCAGCAACAGTAATAGGAGCTTTGGATTTTAATACTGAATAAATCCCACCAACTTTATGAGCCACTTCGGTAGCAACTTCAAATAATAAATGATTTGAAATATCTCTTGTCATAATTGATGATTATTCCTTTCAATTCCTTTTTAAATGTTTTTAAAAGAGATTTTTTTGTGACCTATCGTTGAAAGAATGTGGATAAATTTCTCAACAGGGGAAAATTGGGGTGATCGAAAATGTTTGCGATAAGTTTCATGAACCCCTTAAAAACACTTTGAGACATTGGAGATTTCTGCTTTATGTGAGGGGGGGTGTACAGATGATTGACTAAGATTCGGTTATGTATAATATAAAGAGAGAGGGGTTTAGAATAGCTAAGATGTTGTGAAAATAAATCTTAAGGGTTTCTCCCATGAAATGTCCCGCTTCTCAATCCATCATTCCACTACCCTCACTAATCTGGGGAAGTGGGTAGATAGTTCGGGTAAACTTTCCCACCATTAAGAAAGTTAGGTTTTCTGTTAATAATCAGGAGATTTCGTTTGTAACAACCATGTAGTATGGACTACCATGAACCGTAGATTTAAGCAATGAGATTTTGTGGGGGATAAATTTACGAGATGTTCGCATCCCAACAAAGAACATTTGAGCATCAACCAGCGCTTAAAGGAAATTGAGCGCAAGCGATCACTTTAAAACTTAAAACGTTGATTGAAAAAGGGGATGATAAGGGAAGGAGGAAAGACCTTCCCACTAAGAAGATTACACTATGGAGACCTCGAAAAAAGGAAACTCAAGAGTACAGATAGATGTATTCATTAATCTATTTACATTATTCTTCCATTTCAACATCAGATTCAGTGAAATTATCATTATTAGTTTTAAGGCTTGGTCCTAACCATTCACCTTCACTCTCTTCATCTTCATCTTGATCTTCGTCTTCATCTTCATCTTCATCTTCATGGAATCCATCGAATTCAGGTTCCTCAACACTCTTATTTCCAACAGCTACTTGTAAGAAATCAGTAAATGAATCATTAGTCTTACTAACTTTAACAATATCTTTAGCTAATTTGCTCAAGAACCTATTTATCAATTTGATGGAATGGTTGAATGTATGTTTGTTCTTCATAATATATTGACCATGAGATATCAATAAGTTCTTAATCCAAATCAAGTTAAATTCTAAATGAACAGAATCAATAGATTTTTCTCCAATGAATTTTAAGAACTTTTCCAAATAAACTACTGGTAAGTCTTTACAAATCAAATTTATATCTTTCAAAGGAATCGATTCATAGATGGTATTAATGAGTTTGATCTCATTTAATCTGAAACTCATAATCAAAGCTTTTAAGTAATCTTTTTCTTCTAATGTTTCAATGATGGTTTTAGGGGTAATGTCAATATCTAATTCAAAAGGATCAAATAAAATTTCATTATCAACAGAATAAACCAATAATCCTTCAGTCGAACCAGCAGCAAATGCTGAAATTGTAGGATTGAATTTAATGGAATTAACTTTAACTGATGGTCTAACACTTCTTAAACTGGCATCACCTTTTGAAGTTCCAGGTAATGAAAAGTCTAATCTATCTTCCAAATCACTATTTTCACCATCCCTATCAATCAATTCAATGGATCCTCCATCTTTTAATTGGGAACTATTCAATTTTTCTAAAGTTCCATCTAATTTCATATTTTGGGAGACTTTAAATTTCTTCAATAAAACTTCAGTTTCGATATCATAAAGACAAATAGAATTATTATTACCACCAGCAATTAAAAAGTTCCCATCAAATGAATAATCAATAGTGGTGAAGAATTTTGATCTGGCAGAATTCTTACTTTCAAATCTATCTTGAAGATATCTTCCACCAATAATATCTCTTTTACCATCAATTAAATGAATTTGTTCAGCTTTTTCAACATCAAATATCGTTATATGACCATCTAATGTACTGATAGCTAATTCTTTAGAATCAGGTCTCATAGAAAGACTTAAAACATCACTGTGAACTTCAATTGGTTCAACAGTTTGAGTTCTATTGAAAATATTCCATATTCTAATGGTATTATCCCAAGAAGATGAAGCCAAGATAGAATTTTCTACACCAAATGATAAACATGATATAGGACCTTCATGACCAGCTAAACTATCTAATAATTGACCTGTTTGAACTGACCATACAAAGATATCGAATTTATCTTGAGATCCAGCACAAACAATTTCACCACTTGGATCAACTGCTAAACAATTAAATTGAATTCTTTCTGTTGCTGTGAATGTACGGAAGTTTCTGTACCTTATTAAATCAAAAGCTCTTACTGTACCATCTAATGATGATGAAAATAAAACTTGTCCTCGTTTACTATATTGTAATCCTGTGATACTTGATTTATGTTGGTCAAATGTCATTAAACAAAATCCTGATCTATTATCCCATACTTTGATCTTACCATCATCTGACCCAGTGACAATTCTTGAACCATCGGGCGAATAACAAATATGATTAATGGAATCAAAATGTCCTTGTTGTCTCAAGATATAAGATTCACTTTGCCATTCATAGACTAATAATTGTCCCAATTTAGATGATCCAAATGATAACCATTCCCCAGTTTTGTTAATATTAACGGTGTTAATGGAATTTTGTCCCATACTTAATTGTTGTACCAAAGTGAAATCAGGTAATTCATAGATTCTGAATTCTCCATTACTTAATCCAATAACTAATAAATTTGATTGTGGATGGAATACTGAACATTTAACTTTACCATCAGCATAAAGGAAATTTTTACCTGTGATTCTCCAACTCATTGGTTTGGTCTTTTGTTTTGGTTCTTCATCTTCATTTTCACTGTCACTTTCTTCATCTTCACTTTCGGCTCCTGGTTTCTCAGTATATTCCCATTTAAATAATGCTCCATCTTTACTTAAAGTATAAATGATTTCTTGGGTTTGATTGAAAAATGCATTGATGACATAATCCCTATGACCACTTAAAGTCATAGCAACATCACTTTCTTCTGAATTTATGGAAAATAATTTCGATGTCATATCTTTTGAAGTTGAGATGAAAAATCTTGAATCATTTGACCATGAAATCGATATAACATCTGCATAATGACCGGAGTATATTCTATGACGTACAAATGGAGCAAATTGTCTGTCTTCACTAAAATCAGGAGTCTTCCAAATTTGTATGAATCTACTACATGCTATACCAAAATACTTCCCACAAGGACTAAACTTCAAATCTTGGACTTTATCTTTGAAATTAAAATGATGTAACACTGTTCTGGCTACAAAGTTCACTAAAATAGCTCTTCCATCTTCATCAATACTTAATAATAAAGTTCCTTGTTTATTTAATGCAATTCTTACTATATCTTTCCTATGTTCATAATTTAAAGTATATGATTTATTATTGATTAAGTCAAAAACACTCACTCTGTTTCCTACTGGACTTAATAACTTGGTTCCATCTTCAGTAAATTGAAGGTTTCCTTGTCGATAAACTGTCCCTAAAAGATTTGAAAACTGGAAATCTGACTTCATAGTTTAAAGAGATGAGGTTTGAGATTTGAAAAATTTCGCATCGCTATCTCCAGTTACCCGCAACATTTAACAGTTTTTCACTCACCAACTTGTTGCACTATCTATACCCATAATCATGAGTAGTTTAAGTGAAAGAGTCAAGAACATGAAGTTCATGAGATCTTCTGATGAACAAGAAAAATCAGAACCTACACCAAAACCTGTTTTGTCTGATCCTTCTCAATGGTCACTTTCATCTAAATCATATAATGATATAGTTAAGAAATCATCTACCAATACAAGTACTGTGGGTTTTGGAAGTATAAGTACTTTTGATGAAGACTCAGATACTGAAGCACCTCCAATACTCAAAAGATCATGGGGAGGCCAAACAACCCCCGTTACGGAACCACAACCTGAAGAAGTCAAACCAGCATTCGAAAAAGTATGTATAAGTCTCTATATTTGATTATTTACAATTTTACTAACACCTTTTTTTAGAGAAAACCTTTACCCAAAGCCAAACGTGTACAACAAGATGATGATGACACTTTTATGACATCAGATCCTACAGAATTCTTGAATAATATGTTCCCTTCCAAGAAAAGAGACCAACCTGAACCAGAAACTGAACCTCAAACTAAGAATAAGAAACGGAAGAAGAATAAGAAACATTGATTATTTCTTTCGTTTCTTTCCTGTATTATTAGACTTTTCATTCTGTGTAACATTAAAATTTCCTTTAATTATAGCATTTCTACCAACGGTATTTATATGTTTGAATCTGTCAGATCCCAATAACGTACCACCAAACCATCGGCTTACCACTACTATCACATCCCATACATCCATCATCTACTTGGTTAGTATCCTATATATATATATATATCATTCAATAAATATTACATACCGTTAATAAGTGAAGTAATCTTCCTCCAGCTGCTGCTTCTCCATCATCATCACAATCCTGATATTGAACGTTTCCTGAACCTTTGATTCTCCATGCACTCATGTTATGGGCAGCTTTAGATATTTTCCTATCAGATACTAGAAGATCAAGGTATTCTTGAGCTTCTTGAAGACTAGTGACTTTCCTAGCGAATCCTATAAATGTTGAACCTCTATCTACCAAAGGATCTGATTGTGACCACCCATCGAACGGGTTCTGTTGCTTTTGTTCTGATTTTTGTTTTCGTATCACCGGTTGAGTTTCGATTTGTTCCTCTTCTTCACTTTCTTCTTCCTCTTCCTCGTCTTCCTTCTTATCTTCATCACTTCCTTCCTCGATCTTTAAACTTTCCAACTGCTCTAATGAGCTTTCCTCCATCATCATCTCCAATTCCAGTAGAAACTCAAACATGCACACCTCTCCCTTTCTGTAAACTTCCTCCAATTTCGAATCAAACCTTTGTTGCAAATAATTCACATCACTATGTCTGTTACTTATCACTTGTATTATACTAGGTTTCTCATCAGGATATATTTCAGGGAAACTCAATTGGAGTTCAATATCTTCGTTATTAGGTACCTGGAATTTGAATATCTGTGGTGCTAGTTCTTCAGTACTACCGGGATAAATGGCATCAATGGCACTGATTTCATCTTCAAGTTCTTCTTTCATCAATCGCTGCAAAAAAAAAAGTCTCACCCAAAATGGATAGTGAACAGTTGAAGAATTTAGGTAATGTGGCCTTCTCTCATAAGAATTATGATGATGCCATTACCCTTTACACAAAAGCTTTACTTCAAGATGATACCAATCCCATATTATTCTCCAATAGAGCCATGTGTCAAATAAAGTTATCTAATTGGGATAGAGCCTTACAAGATTGTGATAGTGGATTAGCATTGGAATGTGACGATAAGACCAAAGTCAAATTACTTTTCAGGAAAGCTACGACGTTTAAAGGTATGAAATCTATGAAGTTGGCATTGCAGTACTTCCAGAAGGTGGTGGATTTAGATCTGTCTAATGAAGCTGCTTTGAAAGAGATCAAGAGTCTTAATATTGAAGAACCTCATAATAAGAGAATACCCATCCCCATTGAAAAAGTCGATAAACTCCCAGAAGAATATGAAGCATTATTGAACGACAGACCACCACCAGTACCATCAGTTACCCAAGAGATAGAAAACCCTGGTAGAGTATCAAAAGAGATCGATGAGTTATTTGGTGATAAACCCAAACCTCAACCAAAACCTACATTCGTTGAAAGACCTACTACATCTCCATTGATGGCATTGAAATCTATCCCTGGAGCCAATCGTGATAAAGCATATACTTATGTGATAAATCTCCCCGTATCATCATTAGTTGATGATTTCTCCTTTGGTATGGAACCTGATTTCTTGAGTTTTTATGTTGAAGCTGCTGCTCATGTTTCTTCCAATAACTCCGTCAATGGGTGGGATACTTTGATTTTGAACAACTTTCAACAATTATCTAAAGTCAAAAGATTCGACATCTCCAAGACTTTTATAAAACAAGAAGATTTAAATACTTTGTTGGCTAATGTATCGTCAACGAACCCTGATTTACTTCCACATTACGAAACCATATTTCAATAGCTTTTGATCAAACCTTCCTTCAAACCTTTCTTCATCATGTTCACAGGTAAAGGTTGAATCAAATCTTTAATGATTTGTGGCATAAGATCTTCCAAATCCACTTTCAAAATTCTGGTGATGATTATAGGTAAAGCAAAACAACAACTAAATAGCAACATCATAACTAAGAAAATGAAAAAGTACACATTAACAGTCAAATGAACTTTCCGTCGTTGTTTCTTAGTTAATAATCGAGGACGAAGTTGACTGGCAGGTGATAACCAGAATAACATCAAAGTATGCCATTTATCTATAAGGGGTACGAATAATAAAGGAAATTGAATGAATAGTATGAAATGACCAATAAGAACATCTGCAACGAAATAACTCATCTCTCCTATCTTACAAATATATTCTCTGAAAGGTTGAGTGAAGATATGAACTCCTAGACCTGATCCTATCCATTTCCCTGACCACCAAGCAATGTTTGCTCTATCGTGTCTAAATTCTCTGGAAACAACCAAAGTGGTGATGGTTTTCAATAACCAACTTTGCATTAAAATTGATACTGCTAACCCTAAAATGGTACGGGAGAAATCGCCATTCTGCAAAAACCACAATAATTCGAAAAAAATTATATGATTGATCAATGCTAATGAATGAACGATCATAGCGATGAAACTGGGGAATTTACTACAAAACAAAGAACAAAATGGTCCTAAAAGTAATGAAACGACGTTGAAAACTAATAAGATCACCATATTCACTACAATAGGACCAAATGTTATGATACATATTCTTAAAAGACTTGATGTAGGAGAAGCATTCCTTGTATCGTTCAAAGAATTGGCAAATAAATAGGCTGCCAATAAGAATCCAATTTCAATAAATTCAAAGATTGATCTTGTGATCAATATGTTAAACTTAGAAGGTTTGACGTTACTTATAATTCTGACTTCATCAAATCCGAAATTTTTCATCTTTTTAACTCCAGTCAATCTACTTCGGCTCATTCTTGTGAATCCTATCCATGAGCTTGGTCTTGATCTACTATTACCCATCGATAACCACCTCAAATAGTTTTTATAATCGATGAAGAAATCGTTGAAACTAAATTGATTAGGATTAAATATGAAAGGGCAAATCAATAGTCCAACTATAGTGGCCCAAAAATATAATAATGGAAGTTTCCACATGGCTATTGATGTATAAAAGATTAATAATCCTGAAATGGCTCCAAAATAAAGACTTTCAGTTGCAAATCTTGAATATAAGATGGCAAATGGGACTCTGACTGTTGCAAAACCTCTACCTGTAGCTATATATCTGGCTCCACCTATGAACATATCACTTACTAATGACTCTGCATATACACGACAAACAAATACTTCAAATAATGGTGATAATGAAATTACGTGTTTACTCAATCTGGTGACTGACTTATAGAAACCTCTTTCCATCAATTCTTGGATAAATAAGGGTAAAAATGCTATAGAAAACACTATAAATATTGATAATATTGATCTTTCCAACCAATGAACTATTGGTATTAAATTATAACATCCACTAGGTAAATGTGGGTCTGTTATAGGTCTATTCTTATCATACTCACAAACAATACTTTCATTGGTTAATGCTGCAATATTAACTCCTACTATCAAAAACAATTTGATGGAAAGTATAATAAAAGCATTGTTCAAATGGAATCCTGGATGGGCATAATAATAAGACAAAAATCTATCTAAGGGTAATTTGGAACTGAGGTAGAATTGTTCTCTGGATAACATTTGTTCTCCCATTCCTGCTCCAATCTTGGTAGTAAAATTTAAAATCGATCCAAATCCTAAATCCCTTCCTTTACCACATTGCATGTATTCACAATGTTTTATCTTACCACCCCTACATAATACATTCATACCAGCATAGACATCTTCATTAAGGTGTAAACCTTTTTGAGCTTTCGATACTCCTCCTCTAGTAGTCATAAATATTGCATTCAAGAAATCAGGATGTCCGTAATGTAATTTACCTCCAATATGAGCAAGAGTTCTGGCAAATAAAGTACCAAAAGTCTGTTCCTTACCGGCAGCCACATCTCCAAGAACACCTATATTCTCTGAGAAGATATATTCTCTGGTTCCAATGATAGCCACAGGATTAGAATACTCCTTATCTCTCAACTCCAATGAATATACATCCAATGGAGGAGCCGATTCTTCAAACTCGTTAAGAACACTTCTTATCTTGAGACATTCTTCAAGATAATTGTCTTGGTTAGCATCTACCAATTGAATATACTCACCTCTGGTGAAAATAAGGGCATGATTTTGGTTATCAGATTTCCCATCTCCAAGAATAGGATTACCTGACAATCTGATTCTATATTTCGGAATTCTTTCACCATCCTCCATTATTGGGCAAGTCCCATCGATCAAAGCCGAATAATAAATAGTTTCATCTGTCTGAGGATCAATATCTTCGTCTAAATAGGCAATTTGCAACTCAGGGTAAGCTCTCAATAAAAATTCTGTATTATCCCTTTCTTCTGCTGTAAAATACTTGAATCTTTGCATGGTGATTAACAAACAAAATTTTCTAAGAGCCATTAAAGAACCTGCTTCTAACTTTTCAAGTTCAGAGTCAAAATTCTCCAAGGGATTTTCCACATCAAATAATAATTTTATGGCTCTAGAATAATTCATGAATCCTGATATAGTACGATATAAGGTTTGTGCTCTCAACGATGCCCATATCCTAGTCCTTAAAACATATTCAGGGGTGGCCACCTTGAACCCAACTGAATAGTAAGGATTTTCGTCAATCTTTTCATTAACACCAAACTCCGGTGAAGATGTATCACTATTAAATTCTTCAGCCAACAACTTTGTATCCTTAACAAAACAGGACCATTCAAGGGGGTGAAGTTTCTTGAGATATTCTAACATGGTGATATTTGAATATTGATCCTCTTCTCGTATAATTTCCCTTAATGACAAAGTGATCTTTTCACTATAATGAGGTACCAAGACTGTAAATGAAGGCATGGAACTTGTAGGTCCAATCTCTCTCATAGGGGTAGAAAGTGATTGTGCAAAAAAAGTGATTCTCCTTTGAGCTTCCGAATTCTCCAGAAATAATGTTGATTTCATGGTCATATCCTCTTGGGACACAAAGAACGAAGGTTCTTTCAAAATGGTTTCATCTTCAGACATAGCATTGGGGGAAGCAATTTGCTTATAAATGAGTTTCTGTACATGCTCTATTGATAATAAATGCTCTCTGTACATCAGAATAATAATTGAGTTCCAAACTTGGGAAACTAAGAATTTGGAGTTGATTGATCCATCATTTGGAGCTGCAATTATCTTTGCAAAAATTCTTTTCGGTAATCTTGAAAATATATTTCTCCATGGAGTCCAAATTGAAACTCCGATGTAGAATGATCTGAATATAGAAAATGTTGTGTTGCACACAATGTACCAAAGATAAGTATCTAGGAAATATAACACTAGATCAGTTAAAAGAATCAAAGCTAACACGATGGTAGAATGATATTTACACAAATTCCTTCCTATCCAAATATCACCAGCGCATCTAGTCATTGTCATTACTCTTAATTCTCTGATAGGATCCTTTATTGATAATGTGAGATAGAAATACGACTCAACAAATTTGAATAAGAATACAGCAAGCCAAAGACCGACCGAAGCAGCCTGTTCTGTTCCTCTAAGTTTATGGAAATTCAGTGTAAAATAATCATTAGGTAGAAATCTCCTACTTTCTGTTACTAAAGGTTTGAAAGATTTTCCTAGGGGAACAAATGATAAATAAAGTACCGTGGACAATGAGCCGACAAATTGAATGGAAGTGATAACTAATCCCGTAATATTTTGATGATTCAAAGGCTTGAAACCTAAATAATAAATTGAAGGTCCAATATTAAAAGCCAACAATAGCATTAACATATAAAACCTTCTAAACAATGGCTCAGCACCAGGGTATTTCCTGGGAATAAAGGATAATTCAAATAAAGTAGATATCAAACATATCAAACAAGCTATACCCCCTGCAATCGACATGATAGTAAGACGAGCTTGTGTTGTTGGTTGGTTATCCAAAGATGGATTATAACGATGAGTATATAAAGAAGGAGCATTAAAACTTGTAAAATACCAAAACATCGATACATGAATGATCCAAATTCTATTGAAATTGGTCAATACATGAGACCAACTTCTGGATTCTTTGAAAGTTTTGGAGAATACTTTCCTCCAAACAATTCGATTAAGGTTTCTGTATCTATTTTCTGGAGGTAAATCGATCAATCTTGTTTTGTCATCAAGAACAATTCTTTCCAATCCTTTCTCATACCAAAATAACTGATTCATATCATCATAACCAATGACATTCTTATGGTCTTTATCCAAACGAACGTAATTTCCATCAACCTTATGATAACATTGATCTCTATAAAAGTTATAAATAGGGGTTATTACATGTTCTAAAAAGCTTTTACTTGGTTTAACTGAAAATTTCGACTCTGAGAAGTAGTAATCATTGCAACATTTGAAAATAAAACATAAACATTCAGGCATAAATCTTACATTGTTGGCTTCACCCCAAATAAGTAAGTATAAAGCTACTTGAGTTACACATTCATCCGCTCCTAAGTTGGTCATGGTATTGTACCATTTCGCCTCCGACTCCAACATACTATCTACTGTAAGTGATTTATCTCTCGGTTTACCATTGATTTTTAAATTAGTGAAACCAATAGAATCATCGATATCCAATTGAGCTGCAAAATACCATTTTCTAAAGTTTGCATTAAGACCTCCAATATAATCTGCATGTACTGATCTCAAAGCTCTGCTAGGTCCTAATCTAGAAGCTCTGGAATCAAGAATTCTCATAAAGTAATCAAATATGTTCTTCGTATTATCGAATTGAAACCCAAAGACTTCGGTTAATCGAAGGAAGATCGCTTCCATGTCTTCAACAGAGATAGGAACTAATTCCTTAGGATTCCAAGCTGAGTAAGGGTCGTGACCCTTAGTGGGAGAATCACCAACTAAACCAGATAATTTTTCATCAGCTAAATCTCCTTCGAATCTACTGGACTCTCCAAACTTAGAAATACCACCAAACCTTTCAGGATTTATTTTTGGAGTTTTAAATCCACTCAAAGGAATTGCTGCTGTAAATTCTTGATCTTGAGTATCACTATGACCAGCTGTTAGGTTAGTACATTCGAATCCAACTTCTGGTTAGTTATGAATGAGTAGGATGTCATACTGAGAGCTGTATCGGGATTTCTAGCCCTACTATCCCTGTGGAAAGGGTTAGCTGAAAAGAATTCTTTTGACATAAGTAAGTGCTTAAACCACAAATTCAAATTTTGCGATCCTAGTGAGTTCAATGATTGTGAGCCCGGCTTTCCGATAGTGACGCAGGGAAGAAAAGAGGGAAGAGAATGATAGAGAACAGAAGCTTAATCTTCATCATCGATTTCTACATCGGATTCAGAGTCTCCTTCGGTGATGGGAGTATCTAAAAATGCAATCAAATTAGGAGTTTTAGCTTTAAGAAGTAAAGAAACCTTTTTAACTTTTCCTTCAGTAGCTGAAGAGAGTAATTTTCTTCTTATGTCTGTAGGATGAACTCCAGCACTGAGAAGGTTGGCCACAATACCGGTAACTATTGGGCTGGACATTGAAGTGCCAGATAAGTATTTTACTGAAGTTTCGTTAAAATTAACACTAGCAATGTTCACACCAGGAGCTAGGATTTCCACACAAGGTCCATAGTTAGAAAAGAAAGCCAAATTGTCAGTTCGGTCATCAATGCTCCCCACAGTAATCGCCTTTTCAGCACTGGCGGGACTATAAGCACAAGCATTTTTACCTGCATTGCCTGCTGCTGCAACTACTATAAGTCCATCATCGACAGCTGAATCTATAGCCATATTAAGAATACTATTGGCAGATGATCCTAAGGATAAGTTAGCTACACCAAGCTTACCGTTTTTTTTCAAATAATTAATGCAAAATTCTACTGCAGCAATAATCTTACTCAAGCTTCCATTGCCGTTATCTGCCAATGCTTTGACCTCTACAATATTTACTTTCTTGGACACTCCGTAAGTACTAGAACCAATTATTCCTGCCACATGAGTTCCATGCCCATTTTTATCTCCTGGACCATCGCCTGTCAAATCAACACCCGACCTTGCTCTTCCTTCAAATTCAGGATGTCCCGTATAGACTCCAGAATCAATCACAAAGGCCACTACATCTTTCCCAGAAACTTCTGTATCATATAAATACTTGAACTTCTTCTTCAACCTTTTTCTTTGGGAAATCCTTCCAAGATGCCGTGGAGGATATTTTTCAGAAACAACATCTAATGATTGAATTTCAATATCAGGAGACACTTCATTGATATAAGGACATTTCTTCAATCTCTCCAACATTTTTTTGGAAAAGTCACCCACAAACCCTTTGAACTTCCCAATTGAGAAAGTTTTTGCAATCAAATCTTTGACTCTCAAATCTTCAGGATACTTATAATCACTAGCATAAAAATCTTCAAAAGTTTCACCTTCTTTCAAAGTAACGAAATAGTTGTCTGCCGTTACTATGGTAAGCAGGAACAACAAAATCAAATAAGTTATCAACATCATTATATATGTGGAACCGCGACAAGGTTTTTTGGGTGCAAAAGAGGGTGGACTTATAATTAATATTTATTCAAAACAATGTACAAGTATATCAAAACACAAAACAAATTATCTAAATTTATTTAAGTGACTTTAAAACTTTAGCCTTTTCTTCATCAGGAAGAGATCCAACGAAATCTTGGATAAAAGTTAAAGCATTTGAAGGATCATCCTTCATTAATTTTCTAAAAGTGTTGAAAGAATTTTCAGATTTCAATTCTTCAATCTTTTGTTGTAATTTATCGTGATTATTTTCAATCCAAGAACTAACTTCTTCATCTTTATCATAATCAGTAGTTGGCATCCAAGATTTAATTCTTGAAACTCTTTCTAATTTAGTTGATTCAGGTAATTGTTCTTTGATTAATCTTAAAACGTATTCTTCATTCAATCTACGTCTCAATCTCCAGAAGAAGAATCTTCTAGCATCTCTCCATTGTAATTCTTTTCTAATTACACCTTTAGCCAACATTCTACCGGATCTATCATGTAAATCAGCGAATTGAACGGAGATTTGTTGATAAATTGGTAACAACAATTTTTCACGTCTGACTAATTCAGTAGTGAGTTTAGTATGTTCATCGGCTGAAATTGAAGAATCCTTCAATTTAGATTTGATTTGAGCATATTTAGGATCTAATCTTTCCATGGTAGCTAATAATTTATCACGTCTATATTTGATACCAACCATACCTTCAGGTTCTAAAACCCCAGCTCTAGAATCAACATCAGCATACATTTCCATCATATCTTCATTAATAGTTGGATCAACAACAACCCAAGAACCACCTCTTAATTCACCAGTTGGTGGGATATAAGTGAAGATAGGTTGTTTGAAATCAACTAAAGCATCAACAATGAAAGAACCATATTTCAAAACTTCATTATACATATCTCTTTGACCACCAGAGAAACCTCTCCAGTTAGCTAAAATCATTAATGGTAAGTTTTCACCATTATTGAAATCATTAATAGCTTGAGCAGTCTTAAAAGCAGAATTTGGATACCAAACTTGACCAGCTTCTTGAATTTTGAATTCGGTTGAATCAGGGTTAGCAGGATCAGCAGGTAATAAATTATCAACAGTTCTGGTTTCAACACCAATAACCCCGATTGGGATACCACCAAGACGAGCTCTACCAACAACAACCCCTTTAGCCCATCCAGATAAAGTTTCTTGGAAAGAATCTTTATCGAATAAACCAGATTCGAAATCACCATTTTCCAATTCTTTACCTTGAATCATCCATCTGACATCGTAAGGTTCAGATTTTGGAGGATAGTAATCAATATCTCTATCCCATTTATCTTCATTTTCCAAGATTGGAACTGGTAATCCACGTTTAGCAGGAATATAACTCATCCAATCCATAATCTTTAAAACCCCAGCATAATCATCTGAAGCAGTTAAATGTGAAACCCCATTATTGTACATAATTTGAGTACCACCCAATTGTAAATTGGAAGAATAAACTTCTCTACCTAATAATTTATTAATAGCTGGAGCACCAGTTAAAATAATTGGTTGACCTTCAATTTGAATAGCTCTTTGACCTAATCTAACTAAATAAGCACCAATACCAACTGATCTACAAGTAACTAAAGTAATAGTGAAGATATCTTTATAAGCTCTTGAAGTGGCACCAGCAATTAAACCTGAACCTCTTAAACATTCAACACCTAAACCATCTTCCATACCAACAATAGATTTGATAACATGTCTGATTTCACCATTGATGACTGATTTTTCACTGACGACGGATTCACCTTTACCTGATTCAGTTAAAGAATTTTTATCTTCTTCAGTTAAATATAAGTATTGGAAACCTTTTTCAGGATCGGATTCATCATTCCAGCAAACCTTGAATAATGGTAATAATTCTTCAGCAACCCCGATTCTAGCACCAGAATTAGCTGATAAGTAGATTCTTGGAATTCCTAATTTTCTAGCTAATTCAGTACATTTATGGAAGAAATCATCTTCTTCAGGACCGAAAGAACCAATCTTATGAGTGATATCGTTAGCAATGATAATGAATTGTCTACCACGAGGATATTCTGGAGTCTTAGCAATAACTTTGAACCCAACCATACCAATTTTATTGGAACCTGGATCTCTATCAACAGCAGTTAATTCCCCATTATCATCTTCAATCAATTCCAAACTAGTGAAAACATCCTTTGGAACTTTAGAAGAAGAATTCTTCCATTGAGCAATAGTAGCTTGACGGAATAATTCCGGGAAATCATAAACGTAAGTAGTACCCATATTATGAGCTTTATAACGTTTTGGTTGTAAAGATTCTTTAACAGGATAAGGAGTTGAAATAGGTCTTAAATGCATTGAACCAGGTTGGCCAATTGATTTGAAAACCCATTCATCTTTAGCATTCTTAACTTCCATGTATAATTCAGATTTAACAACATAACCTGAGACATTATTAATGATAGCTCTTAATGGGAATGATTGACCAGTAGTTGGATCAGTACAAGAGATTCTGATTTCAGCACCAGTAACTCTTAATCTCCATAATCTTCTACCGAATCTTTCTAAGAAAGAACCGAAAGCAGCTTCAACTTCTTCTGGGAGAATGTTGAAAGAAGTTGAAAAGTTAATGAAAATATGATTTAAATCAGAATTTGAAGTATCAATAATTTCCAAAGCATCTAAAATGTCTGACATCAATCTATTAGATTCAGAAATCAAATATTCAGTGATTGAAATATCATCTCTAATAACGCCAGTTCTAACAATACCTCTAGTGAAGAATCTCTTATCAGAAGGAGCATTCTTACCAATAGCTTCATAAACATGAATGTTTCTATTATCGGTGAAAATAGGTTTGATATCGAAATTATCTAATCTTCCTAATTCCAATTGGAAAGCTAAAGCTGGTTCAATATGACGAATAACTTTATTTTCAACATATTCTGGGGCAGTGAAAGTATAATATTTAGGATAAGAGCCGATTTGATGAGCAAATACAAAGGTAATACGACGAATAGAACAACCAAGTAAATCATCTTTTAATTCTTGTAAAATATCATTTACTTTGGCAACAATTTCATCATCATTTTCATAACCATCGACATTATTAACAACAACATTGAAAACATTTGAATAACTGTTTTTATCTTTCAAAGCATCACCAATATTGATTGAAACTCCTGGACTTTGTAAGATATCTAAACCAGCAGTAATCATATCTTCAGCATCATCTAAATGAGCGCATGGAACTAAAATACCATGTCTGGTTTGATCTTGATGTTTTTGATCAACAACATAAGATAAATCTGAAATAGAAGCGGTTCTATTCATTGAATCATCTTTATCACTATTTTTAGCGTGTTGAATAGCATTAAAATGAGATGAAGCAGTATGAGGTAATTTGAAATTCCAATGAATGATTGGGAATTTTTCACTGAAATGATAGAAAATTTGACCTAAAGAATAAGCTCTATAAGCTCTTCTAACATAAACTTCAGCAGCTGCCATAGCAACCCATTCATCAGAATTAATCAAAAATTGGGGTAAAACATCGAAAACATTATGTTTAGAATCAACAACTTCTTGAATGATATCTAATTTTGGTTCTCTATGTTTAGCATAAATTTCACCATATGAAGTTTGTAATACTGAAGATCTTAAAATATGTTCTAATTGATCAGATCTTTCTTGAATTGAAGGTAATGAACATTGAATTAAGATTTCTCTTGCTTTCAAAGTTACTTTGGTAGTACCTTTAGTATCTAATTCAACAATGTTTTTCAAAGATTCTCTGATTTCATTAGCAATATTTGAAGATTGTTGTAATAATGGTTGATATTCGTTCAAAATAGCTAAGATTAAATTGTTTTTAGCACTAACTCTGGAATGAGATAAGATGATGTTGATAACATTACCTAATTCAGATTTATGTTCATCTCTTAATTTTAAGATGATTTCATCTTCTCTGATATTGGATCCACTGAATAATTTTTCAACTTCATAATAAGCATTAATCAATGATGAGAAGAAATTATATTCATGTTCAACTAATCCATTAGCATATCTATTAGCAATTTCTAATAATGGAGTTAAAGTGTCAGTTAAATTAGAATCTTTAAATTCAGGATCATTAATGAACTTGTTGAATAATTTCAAGATTTGTCTACTTGGGAAATCTCCATTTCTTGATTGGGTTCTTTCAATCAATTGTGATAATGATTCATCCAATTTAGGTGGTAATCTTGAATGTAAAGCAGAAATTTGTAAATTCCATTCAGAATAAGGTAATTCTTTATCTTTTAACACTTCAATGATATTCTTCAAAGTACTGTTCATGATAACTTGATTATCAAAACCATTCAAGATATTCTTTAAAATATTTGAATAGTTTTGGAATTTATGAACCGGTTTAGTACCTTGAACAACAGGTGCACCTAATTCAGGTAAAGTACCTTCAAAAGGTAAAGCATGTTTAACTTTAGAAGGATCATCTAAAGATAAAATAGCTAAAATATCACCAGCATTAACAGTTGAACCAGGTTGTTTGATTAATTGGACAACCCCATTTTCTTGAGCAATTAATGGCATACACATTTTCATGACTTCAACTTCAGCATAAGCTTGACCACTAACAACATGATCACCAGAATCAACTAAATATTTAACTAATTTACCTGGAGATGGAGTTCTTAATTGAGTTGGATCATTTTCAATCTCTAATAAACAAGTTTTACCATCAACTGATAATCTGGTAGCACTAGCTTCTTCTTTCCAATAAACGGAATGAGATTTACCTCCAATAGCAATTAATAAACCTCCATCACTTAAAGATCTAACACCTGCTGTTATTCTACTACCATTCAAAAATATAGTATAAGCTTCATTGGAACTTTTAGTAGCAGTAAATTTATATCTATAACCTTCATAGATAAAATCTACTGGGAAAATGGTTTTCAATAAGTTCTTATTTGGAACTTGACCTTTCTCTAAAGATTGAATATATTCTGATTTTTCTTCTTCACTTTGAATATGAGCTTTAGTAACGGCACCACAAACAACTGCAACAATTGGATCTGGTCTTTCGGCAGTTAATTTTTTGGTGATTAATTCATCTAACCAACCAGTAGTAATAGTATTTTCTTCGAAATCTGGAGTTTCCAATAATTTGATTAAATATTCAACGGTGGTTCTGAAATCACCTCTGATACTTAATTCTTTTAAAGCAACTACCATATGTTTTCTTGAAGCTTGTCTATTTTCACCAAAAGCGAAAATATGACCAAATTGGGAATCAGAAAATGAATGAATGGATGATTGATTACCAACAGAGAAATAACCCCAAACATTTGAAGAAGATCTGAAATTTAATTCATGTAAATTACCACCACTTGGTTTGAAACCTTCACCTGGATCTTCTGAAGTAATTCTACAAGCTGTAGTATGACCTTTTGGTTTTGGTCTACGTTGAGTAGTTAAACTGTTTTGATTTTTGAATTCAAAATCAATTTCAGTACCAGAATGAGGATCAGCTCCATATAAAGTTCTGATATCTCTGATTCTATGCATTGGAATACCCATAGCAATTTGTAATTGAGCTGCAGGTAAATTAACACCAGTAACCATTTCAGTAGTTGGATGTTCAACTTGTAATCTTGGATTTAATTCTAAGAAATAAAATTTATCATCCAGATGACTATATAAATATTCAACAGTACCAGCACTAACATAACCCACTAATTTACCTAATCTGACAGCAGCATTTTCCATTTCATGGAAGGTATCATCTCTGGCGATAGTAACAGGAGCTTCTTCAATAATTTTTTGATGTCTTCTTTGAACTGAACAATCTCTACCGAATAATGAAATATTAGTACCATATTGATCAGCTAATAATTGAACTTCCAAATGTCTAGCTGAACCAGCTAATTTCATTATAAATATAGGAGATCCAGGAATTTCATTGGCAGCTTGTTTATATAAAGAAATGAAATCTTTTTCATCATCAACTTTTCTGATACCTTTACCACCACCACCTTCAGAAGCTTTAATCATAACTGGGAAACCGATTTCTTTAGCTTTAACTAAACCATCTTCAGCATTTTTACAACATCCTTTAGCATAAATATCATCAGAAACTGAAACTAAGTTAGTTTCAGGGTCAATTAAAACATCATCAACTCCAGTACCTGACCAAGGAATACAAGGAACTTTAGCATGTTGAGCAACAATAGTACTACTAATTTTATCACCTAAGGATCTCATAGCATTACCAGGAGGTCCAATAAATACAATTCTTTTAGGTGAAGCTGCTAACATTTCAGGTAAATCAGGGTTTTCTGAAGCATGACCCCAACCAGCCCAAACTGCATCAACATTTGTTCTTTCAGCTATTTCGACAATTAATTCGACATTAGCATAATTATTATTATTGGTACCACCAGGTACTTCAACGTATTGATCAGCCATTCTTATATATTCAGCATTAGCTTCCAAATCTTCAGGAGTTGCCATTACAGTAAATTGAATAGCTCTTTCATCACCGAAAGTTTCATAAGACCATTTTCTTACTGATCTGATTTCTTTAACTGCTGCAATACCATTATTAGCAATTAATACTTTAGAAATAACAGTATGACCTTGATTTTCTTGAACGAAATCTTTAACTTTACTTGGTTCAGCTATTTCAACCGAATTTAATCCTCTAAAATGAGAAGGTAAAGATTTATGTAAATTTATAAAATCTGTGCTTGACATTTTTCTATATGTTGTTGATAAATATCGAGGATAAATTGGTTTGTTAATAATTCTAGGTAAGTGATTAAAATGAAAAGAAATAAATTTAAATCTATGGAAGTTAGTATAAGTGCTTTTAGCACTCTTCATTAAAAAATTGGGCTTCTCAACTTTTGGGCCTTATGTACAGGGAGACGCAACATATAACGGTTTACAAGGGTAGGTGAATTAGGGGCATCTGGGGAGATTTTCCATGATTTGATGATAATAGGAACAGCTTTATGACATTATAAAGTCAACGATCAAGTCAATTCTTTCATAAATCAATAAAAAACGCCCTTTCTTAATTATGTCCCGAATTTTTCACTCTCCATATAATCCTAGTTCAGTGTCTCAATTGTTTTTCAACCTCAATGACAATCCCTTTCTAATGATTCTTAATTTACATACTTCAATATTGATCTAATCCTTGAAGGATATGGTTAACACAATCAATGATAGAAATCCTGAAAATTCCACAGAAATTCGAATGGTTTTATAAATTCGCAGATAAATCGCTAAGATCAACTTTTTTTATATACAGTTCCCAACATTTTTTTCATTGGGTAAAAAAGTAGGTTTTATTTGACTATAAAACAAGTCAGGTCGAAGGGATGTGATCTTCAAGATAAGAGATATGAATTAACATTGTATATTGTATGATCTCGTTGTTTGTAGGTCAATTGAGTGACTATAACCTCATCTCAACAATTTCGGTTTACCATAGAAATTGAGTTACTCAAAATTTAGAATGCAAAAATATTGACGTAATAAATAAGCCCAATATCCATTAATCCTAACAACCGTTTAAGCAATGATAAGTAAATAAGTAATAATTCAACCAAAAGATTTACAATTTATTTCAAATCAGTTTATCAACATTCTAGATTAGTTTATAGGTTGTTGAGTGTCATGTGACGTGTCATGTGATCGATCGCGTGATGTCTCTTTTCTTTTCTTTCTTTCGCGAAACGAACTTATCACTGAACCCAGTGGCAACTGCGATTTCAAAGTAATGTCAAGAGAAGATCCTATTAAAGCAGAGAAAGATTTATCATCAATTGTCGATGCAGAATTTCCTCAAATCGAAAAATTGCCTTATAAAGAGGCTGTGGATCGTTATTTGAACTTGGAAAAACAAACAAGACAATCTTCAGATTTAGTTTCAAGTAAAAAAGTCTTGAGTAAAATAACTGATGTTTTAGTTAAAAATGATTGGGAATACTTGAATGAATTGATTCCTATATTGAGTAAGAAACATGGTCAAATGAAAAGTTCCATCCAATATTTCATTCAAGGTATTATTGAACATTTAGATGAATTAAACGATGATAACAAAACTCAATTAGATTTAAAAATCAAAATTATTGAAACTATTAGAACTGTTGGTGATAAGAAAATCTTTGTTGAAGTTGAAAGAGCCATTGTATCTAAGAAATTAAGTGAAATCTATCTCAACAAGTTAAATGATTTAGATAAAGCCGTGGAAATCTTATGTGATTTACAAGTTGAAACCTATTCAATGATGGAATTCCCTACTAAAATCGAATATATTTTAAAACAAATAGAATTAACTTTAAGGAAACATGATTTCAGTCAAGCCAAAATATTAAGTAGAAAGATTTTACTCAAAAGTTTAAAGAATTTCGAAAAGGCTGATGAATATAAGATCACTTACTTGAAATTCTTGATTAAGATTAATGAATTTGATAATGATTATATTTCAATTGTTTCTAATTATTTGAAATTAATTGAAATCGATTTGATCAAGGAATCATCGGATTTAAATGATTATTTGGTCTCAATCATTTACTATATCATATTATCAAAATTCGATAATTTACAACACGATTTGATTATGAAAATTAAAACCAACCCAGTTTTCATCAAAAATGTTGACAGCAAAATCTTCACATTATTAGAAATCTTTACTACTAATGAATTAATCCATTGGACCAATATTGAAAATTCATATTCCCAAGAATTCAAATCATCAGAAATCTTCAACAACAGTGAAAATTTCAAAAACTTACAAAAAAGAATTATTGAACATAATTTAAGAATCATTAACAAATATTATACTTTCATAGAATTGTCACGGTTATCATATTTATTACAATTAAATAATGATGAGACCGAAAAATATATTAGTGAATTAGTTAATTCAGGAATGATTAGTGCTAAGATAAATAGACCTCAAGGAATTGTTAAATTTGAAAAAGCTGGAGCCAAAAATGATTTCAACAGTTTATTAAATGATTGGTGTTATGATGTTGATAAATTATTAGAAGAAGTTGATCAAATTGGTCATTTGATAAATAAAGAAGAAATGATGTATGGTATTAAACAAAAGAGTTGATAGCATTAGAAATATAAGAAACGATAAAAAAAAAATTCTCTGATGAATTATCTATTAAAACTAATAAGCCAACAATCCTACTAACAAACCAATAAAGGACATCATCATACCAGCTTTTAATTCTCCAGCACCTGAATCTCTTGATGATGAAGAAGAAGAATCAGAATCATCCGAGCTGGAAGATCCTGATCCTGATCCTGATGAGGATGATGATGATGATCCAGTTGGCATTGAACCAATTGAACTATAATCATCAGAATCATCATCATCATTACCTTTAGCAATACAAGCCCATTGAGTTGAAGCATCGAAACCATTACCAGTTGGTTCAGCATCAGCAATAATATATTTCAAAGCTCCTTTTGGAGTATCAGGGATATCATTAGAAGCTTTCCATTGGGAACTCTTAGCTGGACATTCACTATAATCTAAATCAGATTGATAGTCACCATCACCACTTGGATTTTTGACTTTTTCAAACATCTCTTTTAAATTATCGAAATCTTCATTAGTAGTAACTTTATTACCATCGATTTCAACCAAACCATATTCATTGGCTTCTTCACTATATTCATAAACTAACCCACCACTGAAAACATGGGTCATATCAGTTGAATAAATGGATTCAATTTCAGTAAAAGGTCTTGGTCTAACTTCATTACATCCATATTCTGATAAGAATAAAGGAATTGAATAATTTGAATAAGCTTCGACTTTTTTATCATAACCACTTCTAGTGAAACTTGATTTACCACACCATGAATAATCATTGAAACCAAACATATCGACTCTTGCCATATCATCATCTCCACAGTTGAAATATTGAGCAGTTTCTAATCTATTTTCTTCAACATCAGCTGCACTATAACCAACAGGGATATTTCTTAATTTTCTATTTTTAATGAAATGTTTCATATCTCTAACAACTGCTTTAACATAAGTAGCAGCAGCAGTTGTTTCATCATCATTAATAACTTCATTAGCAGCGAAAAATCCTAAAGTATTATTATAATCAGCAACTTTTAAAATGGATGCAAAAACTTCGTTTAAATACATAGTATTATAACTACATTCTGATGTATTACCTCTGGTGATTGAAGCATATGGAGTATTAACATCAAAAATGACATAAATACCGGCATCAGCTAATAAATTCATACATTCTTTATGATCTTTAGTGTTATCAATGGAATAAATTCTAACAGTATTGATACCTAATTCTTTGAAATATTCAATATCTCTTTCACATAATTCTGGTTCAGCAATAGGATCAGTTAAATTTGATGATCCTCCAGGTTGATAATCCAATCCTCTTATGTAGAATCTTTCATTTGTATCTTTAACAAAGAAAGCATTACCTTTAACCTCAATAGGACTGATAGCTAAAACGATTGATAAAAGATATAAAAAGGCAAAATAAATCATTTCCTCTAATTAACGAACGTATTGGTTAGTTAAGATATTTTGTAGATTTGGTCTTCTTATACCTTTTTTCAAAATACCAAGAATAATGTAAACAAATTTTCGTTTCAGTACTTTAACTTGGTGTATTATATGGGGTACAGAGTCCTTAATCTCACAACGACATATTTATAGTTTCCCTGGAAAAATTCCTTTATGAGGACATAAGGTTGCATTTACTGAGAGAGGGGGATCCCCTTGAGAGATAGCAGAAGGTATGGTTGAAGGTAATAGCTCAATGGTAGTAGTTGAAACATCGCCAGTTTTCGGTGAGAATCAGAGGCTATAAAAGCTAAGAATTAATACCAAGAACCTATAATTCGTGTCTTAAATCATCCCAAACAAGAAATTTTCTGACATATTTGGCAGTTCACAATAGTTTCACCATCTTAGCTAAATATAGCCTCTATTTAAAGTTGGAGTTCTTGAAGTCAATAATTTTGCAGCTAACCCAAATATACTTATCAAAAAACTCCATCGTGCTCCATAGATGCAACTCCACAAAAAAAGAGGACAAATTCAAAAAAAGCCCTGATTTATGTATGAGCTCTTGAATCTCGTTTCTATTACCAGCACTCGTCATCATCAAGATCTCAGTGGTCTAAGTCTTCGGTTAAGCCTCTGATTGTTTCAATAGAATGGAAAAATGTCGTTTCATCACAAATGTCGCGCGTCCATTTCGGGAGTGTTTATTTATCCTAAAGTTGCTAAATGATCTGCACGTGCCGACCGTTTAGAAATCTTACGACCGTAGAGAGAAAGTCTAGAATAAAGTTTATTTTGTTCTAACAGTATAATCTTCACCTGATTGAGTAATATACCTTACCCATGGATATGATTGATATTGTAATTTTGGTTCATTAATTCTTAAATATCTCACTTGAATACCTGAAGTTGTGAAATAAGGAATTTGGAAATTTACTTTGATAGGTTTTTTCAAAATGAGATCTTCAGTACTATCAACAGCTGGTAAACCTAATTCAGCTTTCATATGGTATTGTTTACCACCAGGGAATGTCTTTAATTTCCAAATAATGCAAGATTTTTCAGGTACCCATTTAACAGTTCCATATTCAGGGAAAAATTTAGGAGTATCAGCATCATCAGGTATAGGAATTATAATTTCAACATTATTAGCAGTTGATTTCTTCTTAATTTGAGTTTTAGTTGAACATAAAATTTCAATTCTTGAATGTTTATGAATCTTTGTTTTACAATTGACGGCAATCAATGGTTTCATTAAAAATTGTGTGGATGATAATCTATAAGACATTAAAGTAAATTCACCATCTGGTGGTATAAAAGTAATGATTCTCTCATTTTCAAATTTCGATAATCTTACACATTGATGAAATTTAATATCTTCCATTTCTATACCTTTGGAATTTGATTCTTCATTATTGAAAATTCCTTTATCATTCAATCCTAATCTCAAATCTGGCATACCACTTAAATGAGATTTAATTTTAACATCTCCTAAGATTTCACTATTCAAAACTTGTCCGTTAGCATTAATTAACATATTTATACTTTCAATAACATCTAAAAATGCTTCATTCTTTTTATAAAAGATTCCATCTTTTCTCCAACTAACTGAATTAGTGACAGCATTTGGTGGTTGAACAATTCTTGATGGGGTATTTTTGATCAATTTATAGTAATTTTGAGTAATGTATTCTTTCAAGATCTTAGTATCAGTGGTTTGAGGTATACCATAATCCATCATTTCATCTAACAATTCATAAATAATAACAAAATTATCTCTGATAGATTCTTCTTCCAAATGTTTGAAATATTGGGTTAAAACTTCAATCAATTTGGATAAGAAGATGATTATTGACATGATATTTTCATTCTTACTAGTTAATCCACACAAATATAAATTTTTATGTTGAATGAAAACATAATTGATTCCTTTGTAATTTATGAAAGGTTTATAATTTGATTCATCTTCGTTATTTTCCATATCTAACAATAATAACGGGAAATCTTCTATGGCATTGGATGCTATGTCCCCCTTATAATCTCTTGATAAAAGGGATTTCCCCTTTATATCCAAAAAATGAATTTGTGATGCCATAATATCAACACCGTCGCACTTGTCGAATCTTTGATCTGTATCGCACTTCGCATAGTATAAAAATAGATAGGCTATGGATTTATCCAAAGCTATAGATGAAGAGATTAGACAGTATCAATTGATATCTAAATCACGGTCATTGAAAAATTTGAATTTCAAGAATACTTCGAAAATTTCCAAATCGGTTGATGAGAAACAATTCAAAGATTTGTTACAGAAGAAACATCAAGTATTACAGAAATTATATAAATTATTGAATAATTCTATAACTGATGGCATAAGTGATAATTTAAATGTTGATTCTCTGGTAATTACCAATCGTTATTTAGCAGAAAAGTATATCATGGAACATATTTATAATGATAATGAGAAACAAAAGAAGATAAGAGATCTCATAGAAAAACACCAAACTTACCAAACTTCCATGAAATTAAAGCATCAACAGTCTCCTACACCAACTCTTGATATGGAGATCTGGAGAAATTTAGAAAAATTCGAAAACGAGACCATTTCATACTTCAAAGAGATTCGACTACCATTTTTCAGTATTGATAGTAATTATCAATACCCAACATTGAAACAAGACAAGCAATGGTTAATTCAGAAATTAAATGAACTATTTATTAACCCATAGGACCTCCTTCGGATTATCCTAGAATCTATTTAAAGTCTTTCGTATGACCATGAATAAATATTATTATTTTTTTTTTTTACAATTTTCTCCCGTTTACCTATAAATCAGTAACACAACCTTTGGAGGCATCAGTAACTAATCTATAGTATTTCTTTAAAGTACCTCTTTTATATCTTGGTTCTGGAGCAACCCAACTCTTTCTTCTTTCAGCTAATACTTCTTCAGAAACTAATAAATCAATAGTATTCTTATCAGCATCAATAACAATTTCATCACCATCTTCAACTAAACCAATTGGTCCACCAACAGCAGCTTCTGGAACAACATGACCAATTAAGAAACCATGAGATCCTCCACTAAATCTACCATCGGTAATTAATGCAGCATCTTTACCTAAGCCATAACCCATTAATAAACTTGATGGTTTTAACATTTCTGGCATACCTGGACCACCTTTTGGACCTTCATATCTAATAACACAAACGGTTTTTTCACCTTTCTTAATTTCTCCATTTTCAATAGCAGCAACGAAGTTATCTTCTTTGTTGAAAACTTTAGCTTTACCTTTGAAATAAGTACCTTCTTTACCAGTAATTTTGGCAACGGCACCTTCTGGGGCTAATGAACCTTTCAAGATTTGTAAATGACCATTTGGTTTCAAAGGATTAGATAATGGTCTAACAATATCTTGACCTTCTGGTAATCCAGGTAATTTATCCAAGTTTTCTTTGATAGTTTTACCAGTAACGGTCATTTGATTACCGTCAATTAAACCTTCGGCTAATAATAATTTCATAATAGCTGGAGTACCACCAAATTCATGTAAATCAGCCATAACATATTTACCACTTGGTCTGAAATCAGTAATCAATGGAGTGTCATTACTGATTCTTTGGAAATCATCAATAGTAATATCGATATCAACTGATGAGGCAATAGCAATGATATGTAAAACAGCATTGGTTGAACCACCAGTAGCGATAATATATCTAATAGCATTTTCAAAAGCAGTTTTAGTCATAATATCTCTTGGTTTTAAATCTAATTCTAATAAATTCTTAATAGCTTGACCAACGTTATCACATTCATAAGCTTTTTCTGGAGAAACAGCAGGAGCTGATGATGAATATGGTAATGACATACCTAAAACTTCAGCAGCTGAAGCCATAGTGTTAGCAGTATACATACCACCACAAGCACCAGGTCCAGGACATGAATTTTTAACAATATCAACTCTTTCTTCTTCAGAAATTTGATTAGATAAATATTGACCTAAACTTTGGAAAGCTGAAACAATATCAACTTTCTTTGGCATGTTAGGATTTGATGCACCACAAGTAGTTGAACCTGGTAAAATAGTACCACCATAAACCATAATTGATGGTCTATTGTGTCTACCCATAGCCATTAAAGTACCTGGCATATTTTTGTCACATGATGGAATGGCAACTCCCCCATCATACATTTGAGCTAACATCATGGTTTCAAAAGAATCAGCAATGATTTCTCTTGATTGTAATGAAAATTTCATACCTTCAGTACCATTAGTTATACCATCCGAAACACCAATAGAATTGAATTGCATAGCTTTTAAACCAGCATTGTTAACAGAAGCGGTACATTTATCATTTAAATCCATTAAATGCATATTACATGGATTACCTGACCACCAAACTGATCCAACACCAACTTGAGCTTTATGAAAATCTTCATCATTAAAACCTGTGGCATACAACATAGCTTGTGAAGCCCCTTGAGTTTTATCCTCAGTGACGATGGAGGAGTATTTATTCAACTTCTTCTCCAATCGTTTACTACTTTGACTAAATGGTCTAATGTATTGCTTCAACATATTTCAGTAGATTTATTTCTCAGATCTATTTTTCACTTGACTCATGCCTGAACCGCTCGTTTTTCTGTGAGGGACCAATGAGATTGACTTTGAATGTAATCTTTAACATTTTCATGGTTTATTCAGGTAATTGTCAGTAGAATATAGTGATGAATTCTTAGAGAATGGTGATGATTATGGTGTTTTTAGAATGTTTTAGGGTACATCGGTGATGATTTATGTCAATTTCGGACTTGATTATTGCGATGCCCCCTCCGTTTGTCCATAAGTCACGTGACGTTTTTTATTTCCATGATTCCAACATAGATCACCTCTGATGACAAGTTATCCGTTAAGAAACCAATCTCATAGTCATTCTCGTACGCGACACATTCATGTAAGCATGGAGTTGAATATTTTCAACTCCGTGATACCTGTCACTTAATCTGGGGTGCGAAACTTTCACAGTCACTGATTTTTTTACTTCAAGATTATGGCAGAGAAAAGATTGTTTAAGGAGTTCGGGCAACTCAATAAAGTCCCAGCTAGTCAAAATAACCCTCAAATAATAACTTTACAACCCAAAGATCCAGAAAATATATTTGAATGGGAAGCAACAATATGTAAACCTTCAAAATCACACTCACCTTACTATTATAAAGGTCAATGGAATTTAGATATTTCTGTCACTTCACAATATCCCATACAGCCACCGAAGATTAAATTTGATCGTAAAACGCCAATTTGTCATCCTAACATAAATATCGAAACGGGAGAGATTTGTCTTGATATCTTGAAGTCGGAAAATTGGTCTCCAGCATGGAATCTAGAACATTTAGTTGGTGCTATACTAATGTTGATAGATGATCCTGAACCCGATTCTCCCCTTAATATTGATCTGGCTAACCTTTTCCGGTCAGATAAAATTGGTTTCGAAAGTTTTGTTCAATTCACTATTTGGAAGTATAATACCTTCTATGAGGATGTCAAAGAGACCTCGGGTGTCAAATCTACTGAAGATATTGTGAATGTAGAGGAATCGACAGATGTACAAGATAACAGGGATATAATAAAAGATGTAGGAAAGCAAGTAACACAAGATTTCATAAATAAAGTTGATGAAATCAAACATTCAAAGAATAATTCCCTCGACTCAAATAGTACTTATGATGATGCAAAGAGACAAATTGTAGAAAATGTTAATAAGCAAGTAAATGAGCTTTGCCTGAAATCAGTATCACCAGTTAGTGGAGATGAAAATGATATTCCTAATAAGATTGATACCACCATCGAAACCGAATCCACAGCTGTTGACCCTATAATGGAAGAAGAAAAAATAAAATTCTTGAAAGAAATAGACAAGAAGGTGAATGCTTTCAATAACGATACCGCAAGTGTTACAGCAAGTGTTTCGACTTCTAGTACCAAGAGTTCTAAAAAAAAGTCAAAAAGAGAACGTTTGAAAGCTATTATTAAGAAATAACGATAATGATCAATAGATATATTCCTTAATTTTCTCTCTCTCATCTATTTACCATCTAATGGTCCCTTGTGAATAACTCCTGATCCAGCTTGATGGGTAGGGAAAACTAATGTTTCAGCAATGACAGTTTTTTGTTTTCTTGAAACTCCAAAAACGATAACTTCAGCAATATCTTCAGCGTATAAAGGATCCATATCTTCGTAAACTTTATCAGCTTGAGACTTATCACCATGGAATCTAACAATACTAAATTCAGTTTCAACTTGACCAGGGTCTACTTCTAAAACTCTTATTTTAGTATTGATCAATTCTTTTCTTAAAGAAGTAGAGAAGAATTTAACAGCTGCTTTAGAAGCACAATAAACTGATCCTCCAGGGTATGCATCTCTACCGGCAATTGAACCAATATTGACAATATCACCGGAATTTTTCTTTTTGAAGATTGGTAATATGTTATTAGTTAAATTGATCAAACCAACAACATTAGTTTGAATCATACCTTCGATATCTTCATCATCAATCTCACCCACCTTACTTCTACCTAAAGCTTTACCAGCATTATTGACTAAAACATCAATGTCAGCGAAGTCTTTTGGTAATCCTGAAACAAATTCTGTAATTGACTTTTTGACACTAACATCTAAAGCTGAAGAATGAACTTTAATACTTGGGAACTGTTTGATCAAATCATCTTTCAAAGTGGTCAATTTATCTACCCTTCTAGCAGCTAAAATCAATTTTACTTGACCATTGGTAGCTGAAGCAAATTCTTTGGCTGTAGCTTCACCAATTCCTGATGAGGCACCGGTAATTAAGATGATTTTGTTGGCTAATCTTTGAGCTGCTTTACTTCCAAATGACATTTTGATTGAAAGATTCAAATTGTGGGACAAATCAAATGCGGGTTTGATGCTCCTTCACGTGATAGGTCGATAAGATTAGTTTTTATTAGATAGGTCTTATGCTCATAGAGGGTAGTGTGTCGATTCGAGTGGTTTGTGTTATGCACCAAAGTTGTTTCGTAATTCCGATCAGTTCCCACCTTGAATATTTTGATTTTGGTTGGATCAACTTCCGAAAAATCGTCTTTTATATGCTTTTCCGTGGTTTAGGTTCAATGTTTCACTAGCCCGAAATCAAATTCAGGTCTCTATATCACTTCCAAGTCCAAATTTCGGAATAATTTTCATATCGTCCAAGTCGGACTCTGGATTCCTTCACCCTCGCAAAAGGCTGCAAAATTTACCACCTCCCACTATTCATATTTTTACTTCCACAAAATCTCTATTTCTTATCCACAAGATAACATTTTATTACCTACCATTCCTATGGATCATCTAAAAACCTTATACTTAGATCTGTCACAAAAAAAAATCGTTAAGACCGACCCCACTGGTAAAAAGTAATTATTCACAGGAAATCTCAAACCGAAGTGTGGAGCGGGAACCAAGCTCCTAAATACCTTTGAGAATTTTACAAACCTATAAAATTAGTCAATTTGGTCGATTTCGAGAATTTAAAACATTTCATGATGATTCCAAGATCAATTAAATCAACCAGAGGTTTAAAATGTTTCAATACTCAAGCAATTAAGTATTTATCATTAAATTCTACAACCACTAGTTACCCCAAATCTCATAAGGTTGAAAAATATATCACTCCAAGTTTTATCAATAATGAATTCTTCAAATCAAAAAGTACTACTTGGTATGATATCCACGACCCTGCTACTAATGAAGTTATCAGTGAAGTTCCACAATCAACTGCTGAAGAATTAGATGAAGCTATTGAATCAGCTCATAAAGCTTTTGATGAATGGAAAAATGTTAGTATTATCAGAAGACAAGGTATTGCTTTCAAGTTTGTTGAATTATTAAAAGCCAACTGGGATAGATTAGCTGCTATGATTGTTTTAGAACAAGGTAAAACTTTCCCTGATGCCAAAGGTGATGTTTTAAGAGGTTTACAAGTTGCTGAAGCTTCATGTAATATTACCAATGATATGATGGGTTCAGTTTTAGAAGTTGCTACTGATATGGAAACCAAAATGATCAGAGAACCTTTAGGTGTTGTTGCTTCAATTTGTCCATTCAATTTCCCTGCTATGGTTCCATTATGGTCAATTCCATTAATCTTAGTTACTGGTAACACTGCTGTCATCAAACCAAGTGAAAGAGTTCCTGGTGCTGCTATGATTATTTGTGAATTATTAAAAGAAGCCGGTGTTCCAGCTGGTGTTTTAAACATTGTTCATGGTAAACATGATACCGTTAATAAATTAATTGAAGATCCAAGAATTAAAGCTTTAACTTTTGTTGGTGGTGATAAAGCTGGTAAATATATCTATGAAAAAGGTACTGCTTTAGGTAAAAGAGTCCAATCTAATATGGGTGCCAAAAATCATTTAATTGTTTTACCAGATGCTGATAAAAAACAATTCATTAATGCTGTTAACGGTGCTGCTTTTGGTGCTGCTGGTCAAAGATGTATGGCTATTTCAGTTTTAGTCACTGTTGGAAAAACAAAAGAATGGGTTAAAGAAATTGTTGAAGATGCTAAAAAATTAAGAGTTGGTAGTGGTTTTGATGAATCAAGTGATTTGGGTCCTTTAGTCAATCCTTCTTCTTTAGCTAAAGCTGAAGAAATCATCGAAGATAGTATTAAACAAGGTGCTGAAGTCTTATTAGATGGTAGAAATCCTTCTTTAGAAGCTCCTTACGATAAAGGTAATTTCTTATTCCCAACTGTCATTAATGGTGTTAAACCAGGTATGAGATGTTACGATGAAGAAATTTTCGCCCCAGTTTTGAGTATTGTTAATGTTGATACTTTCGATGAAGCTATCAGTTTAGTTAACTCAAACAGATATGGTAATGGTGTTGCCTTATTCACCACTTCAGGTAACCAATCTCAAAAATTCGTTAAAAACATCGCATGTGGTCAAGTTGGTGTTAACGTTCCTATCCCAGTTCCTTTACCAATGTTCTCATTCACTGGTAACAAAGGTTCATTCTTAGGTGACTTAAACTTCTACGGTAAAGCTGGTATTACCTTCTTAACCCAACCAAAAACCATCACCACTTTATGGAGAACTGACGAATTTGAATATGTTACCCCATCCACTTCAATGCCAGTTCAACATTAAAATAAATATCAAATGAAAAAAATATATATAAGTAAGTCTGTATCTCCTCTTCGTGAGTCTAATATCCCACACATAATTCAATATACCTATATATTCGGGAATCAAAAAAAATTAGTGAAGGAAGCGAGGTTCGAACTCGCGCGGAGAACCCTCCAACAGATCTTAAGTCTGCCGCCTTA